TGGTGGCGCACAGCTTTAGTCCCAGCACTCGGGAGACAGAGGCAGAGGAATCTCGGTGAGTTGGAGACCAGCCTGGTCTACAGAGCTAATTACAGAACAGCCTCCAAAGCCACAGAGAAACCCTGTCTTGCAAAACAACAACAACAACAAAAACAAAACAAAAAATTTCTGAGCCATCTCTCCTGAAATGATGCTTTATTATTATTTTTATGTGTAGTTTTGACTGTCCTGGGTGCCTTTTTTAAAAAAGGACTGATCTCTTCCATTTTGCTGATTTCTTCCTCGTTAGTTTTTGTTAAACCTTTTTTTTTTTTTTTTTTTTGGTTTAGACTTTGGCTTTTTTTTGCTTCGTTTTTTGTTTTTTTGAGACAGATCTCTCTGTGTGATCCTACCTGTCCTGGAACTTGATCTGTAGACCAGGCTGGCCTTGAACTCACAGAGATCATACCTGCCTCTGCCTCCTGAGTGCTAGGATTAAAGGTGTGCACTACCACTGCCTGGCCTTGAACCACTTGATATGAGCTGAGATCCAAACTCAAATCCCTGAGCATCTCTCTAGCCCCCAAAGTGGTCTCTTGTATCTAGGGCTGGCCTCAAGCTCACTGTGGAGCTGGGTGTGACCTTGAATTTATGGTCCTCTATTCTCCACCTTCTGCAGGCTAGGATTACAGTATGGGCAAGTGCCTTTAGGCTGGCTTTATGTGGTACTGGTATTAAACCCAGGGCTTCATGTGTGCTAGGCAAGCATTTTGTCTGCTGAGCTATCCTCAACCCTGAATTGGATATCTTTGAAGTGTGCTTAGACTGTTCTCTACATTTGTCTGATACTTTACTTTTCTTCTCTAAAGTTTTATTTTTATTTTATGTGTATGTATTTTTTGCCTTCATGTATGTTTGTGCACCATGTGTGTTCCTGATGTCAGCACAGGCCAACAGAGAGTGTTGGATCCTCTAGAGGAAGTCAAGTTACAGATGTTTTGAGCTGTGCCATGGGTGCTAGAGAGAGCATCTCAGTCCTCCAAAAGAGCAGTCAGTGCTCTTAACTGCTGCTCCACCCTCCAGCCCCCTCCTTTTTTTTTTTTTTTTTTTTTTTTGAGACAGGGTCTTATTGTGTAGCCCTTGCTGATCTGGAGCTAATTTTGTAGATCAGGTTGCCTTTAACACACTGATCTTTGTCTCTGCCTCTCAAGTGCTAAGTGCTAGAAGTACATGTGTACATCATTAGGTTAGGGTGATAGAAGATTGGGAAAAATGTCACAGATACCACAGAAGCCATTGGTCTATTCATTGCTTTGTATCAGAAGGCATGTAATGCCAATATGACATTTTACTCATCATTCTGGTGATGCTTGTTTGTTGTTTGGTTTTTTTGGTTCGTTTGCTTTTTAAAGATTTATTTATTATGTAAACAATGTTCTGCCTGCATATATGCCTGCAGGCCAGAAGAGAACACCAAATCTCATTACAGATAGGTATGAGCCACCATGTGGTTGCTGGGAATTGAACTCCGGACCTCTGGAAGAGTAGCCTAAATACTCTTAACCACTGAGCCATTTATCCAGCCTCCTATTCTGGTGATGTTATTACTGGTTTCTCTGTGTGGCTTTGGAGCCTTTCCTGGTACTCCATCAATAGACCAGGCTGACCTCAAACTCAGAGACCTTCCTGCCTCTGTCAGGTGCTGGGATCAAAGGTGTGTACCACCACCTCCTTGGTTGTTGCTGGATCTGTAACTGGCCATTCTGGTGGTGTGAGAATTACTAGTGCCTTTTAACACTAGTGTCTTTCTGAAGTTGCCTTTTCCTTCCTCCTCTACCTTATTAGACACTAACCACCAGATTCTTAATGTTCAGCCAATACTCAAGGGCAAGATGGAAGTTTAAGCTCCAACTCTCAGGGGAAGATGGACTTAAAACAATTACTGGGTATTTTAAAACCACCAATGTAATGCCAGGTCTGGTGCATGGCTGTAACCTAACACTTGGCAGCCTTTTGCTACATAGTGAGTGAGAGACCAGCCTGGGCTACATGAGACTCTGTTTCATATAAGTTCCTCCTAAACAACAACAAAACCTACCAGTGCAATAAATACTTGAAATATAACTTGAAGCCACACAGAGAGCTTATTTTTCTCTTTAAGTTCGAATTTTAACTTCATCTGCAGTTTTTCCTCACTTGGTGATCTACACATTTTCTGTTTTTCTTCTGTATGTACATGGAAATACTATAATGAAGAATTATTTCTCTAATTTACCTAACCATCTATACCAGAATGGAACAACTTTTATATTTATTATTTGAGTTATAATCCAAAATGTGGTTATATATACTTTGTGGCTCAAATTTTCTGGCTTTGCCTTTAAAAGAGACTTACCTTGACTCTTGAGTTTTTTTGTTTCTTCTTTTTCCCCTTTCCCCTTTCCCCCTTTTAAACCAGAGTAAGGATAATTATAAATTTTCTTACTCATTGCCACTGTTTTGTTAGTAAAGCTGATTGCACAGGAGCTGGGCTCTTTAATATTACCTCCAGTTTTGGTTGGTTGGCTGATTGTTTTTTGTTTTGTTGTCTTGAGACAGCAGTCTCCGAGGTAACTCAAGCTGGCCTTAAATTGATGACAGTCTTGCTACCTCAGCCTTCAGATAGCAAGATTATAGGGTGTACCACCAACCCTGGCTTCTGTAATGACTTTGAATTGCTTGAAACTCCATGCTCAAAAATAACATTTAGAATATGTTAAATTTCTTTAAAAGTTGACTTTTAATTTCTTTTAAAAAATAATTTATTTTTATTTTATGTGCATTGGGGTTTTGCCTATATGTATGCTTATGTGAGAATGTCAGATCCCCTGGAACTGGAGTTACAGACAGTTGTGAGCTGCCTTGTGGGTGCTGGGAACCTCACTGTAGGTCCTCTGTAGCAGCAACTCGTGCTCTTAACCACTGAGCCATCTCCAGCCCTGGGTTTTTGACTTTTTTTTTTTTTTTTCAAATCTTGCCTCCACTTCCCAAGTGCAGGGATTATAGGCGTGTGCAACTGTGTATGCAGTGCTGGGGGTTGAACACAGGGTAATATGTGTGCTAGACATGTGCTCTGCCAACTGAACTATAATGCCCGAAGTCCCTATTTATTTGTTTAAAAAACTGTTTCATTTTGTGACTCTTCTAATGCTGACTAGCAGTTTGGAATTCTATTTATTTCATTATTTCATTATTTATTTATTGGCTTTTCCAGACAGGGTTACTCTGTGTAGCCCTAGCTGTCCTAGAGCTCACTCTGTAGACCAGGTTGGCTGGAACTCATAGAGATCTGCCTGCCTCTGCTTCCCGAGTGCTGCGATTAAAGACGTGCACCACCACTGCCTGTCTGGATTTATCTTTTAATTCTTTTGTTCAGATACATTTAGGAGTAAGTATTCAGTGCTAATTTGTTAAAACAAAAAGAGTGTTTAAGTAATACATACAACTGCAAATAGAGATAGGTAACAAATTATGAATAGTCATGAAGATAATTATTTCTAAAAGTTGTATGTCTTGCTTACATTGAAATTATACCTTCTATAAAAAATTTTTAAATTTTAATAGATTAGTAGATATTTGCTTTTGAAATTAAATTACTAAGCTAAAAATCAGTTGTACCTTCTAGAAATATATGTAAAAGTCTTGATGGGAGGTCTCTTTCTGACAGTGCTTAGATTATGAAAGTAGTCAGAATATTCAGGACTGAGAGAGTCCTTTAGGAGACAGTGGTCAGATCTGTTGTCTTCAGGCCGTTGAAGACATCTTTTAGTGATGGGTTTTGAGTTTGTCCTAGGAGTGGTGTTGCTGGAATCAGAGTCAGAATCTGCCCTGGGTAGATCCAACAAGCCAGGTTCAGCCATTCATCTTTGGTAAGCCAGTTAAAAGAGCCAAATTAATAGCAAAAACACAAAGGGAGACATTTATTCAATGTGACCACATTTGAAAGAGGGTCAGAGATCCAGCAACACTTTCAGATGCCGGATGTGTACCATGTGATGCAATGCCCTGAGAGGCCAGCAGAGGGCACAGATCTCCTGGGACCAAATGGAGTACAGATGGTTGTGAGCCTCTTGGGAATGTTGGGAATGTTGGGTCCTCTGCCTGAGAAGCCAGTGCTTTTCACCTTTGAGCCATCTTTCCAGCCCACAATGTTTTTTTGTTTTATAGAAAGAGGGGACGTGGCCGGGCGGTGGTGGCACACACCTTTAATCCCAGCACTCAGGAGGCAGAGGCGGCGGATGGATCTCTGTGAGTTCCAGACCAGCCTGGTCTACAAGAGCTAGTTCCAGGACAGCCTCCAAAGCCACGGAGAAACCCTGTCTGGAAAAACCAAAATTATAATAATAATAATAATATTTTAAAATAAAAAGAGGGGACATTAGGCCTAGATTCTAGGGGAAAAATCATAGAAATTATTTCCCTGGAGGATTGCTCTGCACAGTGAATAATTTGGTCTTTGAATCTGAAGGAGAGGCTTTTGCTGTTGTTGAGAGAGGGTCTCATATATTCCAGGCTGGCCCTATCATGTAGCTGAGTCTTGCCTTAAACTCAAGATTTTCTTGCCTCTACCTCTCAAGAGCTTGCTGAGATTACAGGCATGGGCCACTAAGCCAGGAGAGGCTAATTTCACTGGCTGGAACATAACCTTCTCTAGTCTCATAGGGTAGAGAACTAGGATTTAATTAGTGTAAGTCTCCTCAGCCCTCAGTATAGGAATCACATTTGCTGTCACTCTTTCCTCAGAAGAGGAAGTTCCCGCTCGAGAGCTCTTGGTTGGCACAGCCTGCCTTACTTGAGTGGGTAATTCACATGTACCACTATGCATCCAAGGGCTGCTGCTGGATCTAGTTTTGGCTTTTCTAAGCCACGCCTTTTCAGCAGCTGTAGTCTTCATAACATGCTGTTTGCTGTTAGCTGTTTCTTGTAGAACTTAACAGAACAACATGCTTTTTACTAATGTGATTTTCCTTCTCTTTTTGCAGTGATTATTTATTCAAGTTACTTCTGATTGGCGATTCTGGGGTTGGAAAGTCTTGCCTCCTCCTCAGGTTTGCAGTAAGTTAAAATCAAAATACTTTTTTTTTTTCAATGATGCACTTACAGTTAGTTCAGTGTGTTTTCTAGTTAGACAAAAATCAAACAATTGGACTGGAGAGATGGTTCAGTGGTTAAGAGCACTGGCTACTTTTCCAGAGGACCTGAGTTCAATTCCTAGCAACTGGATGGTGGCTCACAACCATCTGTAATGAGATCTGGTGAGCTCTTCTATCATGCAGGGACACATGCAAACAGAACACTGCATGCATAATAAATAAATAAATAAATATTTTTTTTTAGAAAATCAAACAATTTTATGTAGAATGAGTTAACTCTTTCAGAATTTATGCATTTATGGGCTCCTAAGCCCCACCCCCAGTGGTTTCTTGGACTGTTAAATAAATGTTGTTTGTAAAAGAAAATCATGAGAAGGCTGGGTATGGTAGTGCATACTTGTGAAAGAGGGGATCACTCTGGGCTTGAAGTCAGTCAGTCCAAAAATAAGAAAAAAGTAATAAAAGAAAAAAAAGAAATTCAGTGAAGCAATGAAGTGGGATGATAAAGTTAGTGTTTAATGTTTGTAGAATTCTGATGGATTCTGATAGAGGTGGAGAGGTAATGTGGGTTCCTTGGCCTTACTGACAGTGACATCAAAAGAAAGCCTCAAGCCACATTTTAATAGAATAGAGAAACATCACCAGTCACAAAGTGTGTGGTGTCATATGTGCTGATGGTCACATGTTCATTCTGTAACTCAGACCAAGCTCTACAGCTGTGGTAACCTAGTTCTCTAGTTTTTTGTTTTTTGTTTTTGATTTTTTTTTCTTTAAATTAATTGAAATTTGAGAAAGATCTTTACATGTTAATTCCTCATTTCACAAGTCACTTGGGCTAGCAGTTTATGCTACAGAAAGTTGATTTTGTCAGTGCTGCTCTTAGATTCTCCTCAACTTATCCGAGGTCCACCTTTTTGGCAGAGGACTTCCCAGGTGTGGCTTTGCAGTTCAGAGGGGGTTAGTCTCCATTCCTGTGTTTTTTCATGAAAGCTTCTTTTAAAACAGTTGCTTGTTTCTGTGTGCTTGGATACATGCGGTGGGCGTGCACTGAAGCACAACAGCAGATAGGGCAGAGGACAAAGTGCTTGACTTGTTTCCCTCCTTTTACCATGTGGATCCCAGAGGTGGACTCAAGTCATTAGGCTTGGTGACAGGCACTTTTATTCTCTGAGCCATCTTAAGAGCTCTCATGAGTCCATCCCTTTTTTTTTTTTTTTTTTTTTTTTTTTTTGAGACAGGGTTTTTCTCTGTGGCTTTGGAGCCTGTCCTGGAACTCTCTCTGTAGACCAGGCTGGCCTGGAACTCACAGAGATCCACCTGCCGAGGGCTAGGATTAAAGGTGTGTGCTGCCATGCCCAACCTAATAAAGTAATTTTTTAAAAAAGTATTGATCTGAGTAAGGGCCTGCCTATAATCCCTGCCTTCCACATGTTTGAGGCTCATGTTTGAGGCCAGCCTGAGCCACAACGCAAGACCCTGTCTAAAAGAAAAGAATTAAGTGCTCATACATGCTCCATTGTGGATGAGCATTGAAAACATAAGTGAGAGAGGCCACTTGTAATGACTTTATGTCTATGAAACATTCCCATATGAAAAGCTCCAGGGAGAGTAACTAGATTGATGGTTGCCATGATCTGAAGGAGAAAAGGAAGTAGCAACTGCAAGGGAGTACAAAGTTCCTTTGGGGTAATGAAACATTCTGGAATTAAGTAGTGGTGATAGTTGTATGGCCTTCTATGTTTACTAAAAACCACTGTGTGGCAGGCAGTGGTGGGGAGGCAGAGGCAGGCGGATCTCTGTGAGTTCAAGACCAGCCTGGTCTACAAGAGCTAGTTCCAGGACAGCCTCCAAAGCTACAAAGAAACCCTGTCTTGAAAAACCAAAAAAAAAAACAACAACAACAACAAAAAACCCCACTGTGATCCACACTGAAAGAGGGATTCAACCAGGGTGTAAAACAGACTTTGGAATACATCCCTAAGAGGAAAATGAAGTGAGCATTGTTTGGTGGTAATGGATTGGGTGTTCGAGGAGCAGGAGTTTTATAGATTGGCAATTAGGAAACTCACATATCTGGATAGGGGAGCTCTGACAGTTACACAATCTTCCTGACATATGTAAAGAATTTACGAAGAGATGTATACAAAAAATAAAGGACACTTGAATAATAGCTCAAGAAAAAAGAAACTTTTTTGCTTTAGAACACAAAGCAAGATGGAGTCAGATATTAAAACCTTGGTTTATAAACTTTGACTATAATGCAAGTAAACTTGAAACACTCTGTTGACGTCATTAACTCTCCCCCTCAGGATGACACGTACACGGAAAGCTACATCAGCACGATTGGTGTGGATTTCAAGATCCGAACTATAGAGTTAGACGGGAAGACAATCAAGCTTCAGATAGTAAGTAGTCAATGCACAGTGCATTTATATATATATTTAGTATGCTAACAAAGTTGAGTGTGAAGTTTAAGAGTATGATGATAGTTTTTTAGGCCAGAAGGCATTTCCTAGATTCACTTTTCTCTGAAATGCCTGCCTTCTTCTTTCTTTAAAGTTATTTTTATTTTATGTGCTTTGGTGTTTTGCCTGCATGTTTGTCTGTGAGGGTGTCAGATCCCCTAGAACTGGATTTACAGACAGTTATTTATGAGTTGCCATGTGGGTTCTGGGAATTGAACCTGGGTACTCTGGAAGAGCAGCCAGTGCTCTTAACCTCTGAGCCACCTCTCATAGCCCCCTCCTCCTTCATCTTGTTTGCCACCTATATTGAGGATTGAACCCAAGGTCTCCCATATGCTAAGTCTGTACTATTTACATGGAGCTACATCCCAGGTCCTCTACTTATAAAGCAGAGATAATCATAGTCAGCCTTGGACCTGGTTTCTCCCGTGGAAGTCGGAAGTTTTGAGATTCCTTGCATCACAATGGCTATTTACTTGGCATCTTGTCTGCCTTTTACTATGCTAAGTGATATGATTTGTTAGAAGGAACCTAGGATAGGCTCTTTACACATACATTAAATAAAGACAACTATTTACTTAGTTCTCTGGGTATTTTTCCTTTAAGACCATTTATTTCAACTCTGTAGAAACAGAATTTTATTGGAAAGAATTGATTTGTCTAAAGTTACTGGCAGAACCAAGTAATAATCACTCTCCATCTTTGACATGTGTCTTGTGTTATCTTAACTACCTTATCCATCCTTCACCCCCACCTCAAATTAAATGTTTATCTCTTTATTATGGGTCTGGGTACTGTCAGCTTGTCTGTGGGTTTTTTTTTTGTTTGTTTGTTTGGTTTGGTTTTCGTTTTGGTTTTTCAAGACAGGGTTTTCCTATAGCTTTGGAACCTGTCCTGGACCCTTTGTAGACCAGGCTGGCCTTGAACACATTGTCTCTGCCTCCCAACATGTGCCACCAACGCCCAGCTTTATGTGATCTTAAAAAAAAAAAAAAAAAGTCATCATGGAGTCAGCAAGATAGCCCAGCAGGTAAAGGTGCTTAATGTCACTCAGGCCTGATGACCTAAATTTGATCTCCAGGACCCTCCAGGTGGTAGGAGAGAACTAACTCTTGCAAGTTGTTCTCTGACCTCCATGCATGTGCCATGACAAGGGTGTCCTCAGTGTGAGTGACACACACACACACACACGCGCGCGCGTGCGCGCGCGCGCGCGAGAGAGAGAGAGAGAGAGAGAGAGAGAGAGAGAGAGAGAGAGAGAGAGAGAGAGGAGCGAGAAAAGGGGAAAGAGAAAGTAAGTAAATAGTTTTTTTTTTTTTTTTGAGTTGGGTTTTAGTTTTTAAAAATCAGTATGTTGTAGAGGAGGCTTAGAATGAAATAACACTAAAGACTAGTCATTGCTTTTTTCATGGAATTGGATGTTGCTCTGAGCTAAAGTCCTGAATTTTGAGTCAAAATTACTATTTTGATTCTGGTATTTTTTTTTTCTTTTTCTCTTCTTTCTTCCTTTTTTTTCTTTCTTTTTTGAGGCAGGATTTTTCTATGTATCCCTGGCTGTTCTGGAACTCGTTCTATAGACCAGGCTGGCCTTGGCTGTGAACTCAGAGATCCACCTGCCTCTGCCTCCCAAGTGCTGGGGTTACAGGTTGTAGACAGATTGTAGATGGAGTTTCTTTTCTGCCTGATCCTGTTTAGCCCCAAATAAATATTTAATAATTATAAAATGTTTGGCTCCAGCTGGGCGTTCGTGGCGCACGCCTTTAATCCCAGCACTCGGGAGGCAGAGGCAGGCGGATCTCTGAGTTCGAGGCCAGTCTAGTCTACAAGAGCTAGTTCCAGGACAGCCTCCAAAGCCATAGAGGAACCCTGCCTTGGAAAAAAAGCAACAACAACAACAAAAATGTTTGGCCGGTGGCTCAGGCTTCTTAACATTTTGGTTTTTCCAGACAGGGTTTTTCTGTGGCTTTGGAGGCTGTCCTGGAACTAGCTCTTGTAGACCAGGCTGGTCTTGAACTCACAGAGCCCCGCCTGCCTCTGCCTCCCGAGTGCTGGGATTAAAGGGGTGGGCTACCACCGCCTGGCACCCATAACTATTAATCTGTTTATTTCTACATGGCCTTGCCTGAGAACGTCCAATGCATCCTATCTTCCCCATAGCTACATGCCATCTCCTTGTGGCCTCTCTCTCTGTCTCTCCCCAGCATTCTCTTCATCTCCTAGCCCCGCCTATACTTCTGTCTGGTCACTGGCCAATCAGTGTTTTATTCATCAACCAATAAAAAACATCCCTTATCATCTCCACTTTTCTGTCCAAATAAAAAGAAAGGTTTTTAACTTTAACATAGTAAAATTATATATAACAAAACAGTTATCAAGTAAGAAATATAGTTAACAATAACTAACATCTAGCAAAATTTAAAGAAAATACTCCATCATCTATCCTATCTTTGTGAGTCTAAAGTTTTATGTATAACTTCTCTTTTATCATAACTAAGTAAAAGCATAACTATAACTGTCTGTCTTCAACTCCTCAAAGACCCCAGAAGGATAATATATGAACTATAGAATTGATAGTCATCTCACTGCCTGGACAGTCACCCAAAGTTCCTCTGTAATGGGTCATCCATCTTCAGCCCATAGGCCTAGAGTGTCTGGCAGACTTCTCAGTGAAACAGGAAATTTTAAACTGTTCACATGTATTGGCAGTTTATCAGTCATTTTTCTCTGTGTCCTGCAGAATGTCTGGCAGACTCTTCCTTGAAACAGGAACCCTGAAGGACTATCCCATCTTGTTTTGGCAAGTTCAGCAGTCACTTTCCTGTGGGTCCTGCATGTCCAGTTTATATAGCATACAGTCAAACAGTCCAGGCAAGATTAGTTTCTTGCACAAATGGCTAGTGGCCCCATATTGAAAGCAACTCCGTATCGAGTTTCTTCAATGCTCATCTTCCTCTCTGATGTAATTGGTGTTGCCAGGAACAATTGTGTTTCACTGTCTTGAAAAACCCTAAACCATTTTAAATGCCATATTCTGAAGGTCTTTGAGAGGTTTGAAGACTATCTTCCATTTGAAATATAGCTTTGTATATCTAGAAAATCTAACATAACTATAAGTTTTGGCTATTATAGGTGACTATAATCTGTATTCAATTATATATTATATTTTTAAATGTTTAAACACAATTATCTAAACAAGAACAGAAATATACCTATAAGAAAATTGAGCCTTTTGATGTTCACTTAGAAGAATAACAGGGTTGCTCAGCCCCAGCACTGTTGCCTGGTTTACTAGCTTATGAGGTGGTTTTGAGGATCACATGGCTCTTTGCTGTGTGTGTTTCCCTTTATAACCTTGGTGTCAGTGGGTTCTGTGATATGTCCTATGCAGGCAAGAAGTAAACACTGTTGTGAAAAGACCCACTCAAGCCTGCAGCCTGGGTACCAGTTGCATAGGTGATGATTATTCTTTACAGGATTTAGATATTTGAAACATTTTAATTTTGTCACTTCCTTTGTCTGGAAAGGATCTTGCAAATTGCTCTGGGTTGGCCTTCATTTTCAATAGGAATTTTCTTTCCATATCTGATGCTGTTATGTAAACATATTTGGGGAACTCACCAATTTCAAAAGTAGCTGCTTCCATTTACAGTGGCTCTAGCCATTCTTTATACTGAGCTGGAGTCAGTGTCCCTTCTCTGGAATTCCTCTGCATTTTGAAGCTGTGTGGATCAGATTAATTCCTTTCCAATGGCATCTGCCCTTCAGATTAATGTGATCATACCCTTCTTTCTGCTCAGTTGATCTTTTTTGGAGTTGTTTTTTAGAACCTTTTGAATTTGGGTTACTTCTGCATTTTAAGGTGCATTTTCTAAAATGGGATTCCTAAAATAAAATATCATACAGGGTATGAGATAAACTTTGGAATTAATTTCTTAAAATTTTTCTCCCTTTGGGTTTCGGGAGATGGCTCAGTGCAGATGGGGGCTCAGTTCCCAACTCCCATGCCTCACACAGCTCTCTGTAGTTTCAGCCCCATGAGATCCAGTGCCACCTTCTTACCTCTATGGCCAGCAGGCATGCGTGTAGCACAGGCATATGTGCAGGCAAAACACTCATACACATAAACATAAAATAAAATTTCTCCCTTGGACTTCAGGAATTGTTGCTTATTGTTAATTCACTGAAGAACACAAAAACAAAGCATGAGTTCACATTTGCTGTTGCAGTAACCACATTACCTAGCAGTGTATGTATTAAGATTGTGGCTAGCGTGTTTTTAATTTTGGGGATGTGTGTAAAGGGTACATATGAGCTCCGGAGATGGTTCAGAAGATAAAGTACTTATAAATGTGAGGATCAGAATTCACCCATCAAAATGCATGTAGGCGTGGGGCCCACCTCTAATTCCAGTCCATGGAAGGCAAAGACGCTGGATCACTGAAGCTCTATGAGTCATATCAGTGAGCTCTGGGTTCAACTGAGAGGTCTTGCCTCAATGAATAAGGCAAGTAGTAATCCAGGAAGACTTTACTTCAGCCTCAGATCTCCACATGCATGTATCATACACACACAAAAAAAGAAAAGGTGCACATGTGTGCATGCATGTGTGAGTGAGTGAGTGAGTGAGTCTTCTGTGAATTGTTTTAAAATTTTAAATACAAATTGTGCTTTTAAGCCATTGTATTTCAACTTGCTGGGCTTTGTTTGTTACTTCCAGGTGTTGTAAGTCTTTTCCTTTCACTTTTTATGTTTAGTGGTGATGGCCAGATCTTCATTAAAATTAGTTATTATACCATGGAGCAAGAGGGGCACATTGATAAGAGTCAGGTTGGAATCGTAGATCTTCATATTCATAGTCTTTGGAGTCTCAGTCTAGTTTTAGCCAGAAAGAAAGGAACAAAGCCAGCGTTGGTTCTGTCAATACCGTGCTCATTGAGGTGAGGTACTTTCACTTGGTGAAGTACACCTCCTTTTCCCACTAGGGCATGGCAGAACAACCTGATTTGGGATGAATGGCTGCAGCCAGGAAGGAGTACGCTGTGGACTCTGGATTCTTATTTTTGCCAACTGCCTAGCATAAAAGAATTTAGAATTTGGTGTCAGTACCACCAGCCAAATTGTAGGCAATGTCTTTGCTTCTGGATTTTAACATATTTGATACTTGCAGTGCAGTTTAATAATGTAAGCATTGAATTAGGATCTGTTGTGTCTGATCCTAATAATCTACAGTTTCCTCTTGTACTTCCCAAGTCTGTTGTAATGAAATTGTTTTGCCTTTCCTGATTCTTTTCTAATAGTGGGACACAGCAGGCCAGGAAAGATTTCGAACAATCACCTCCAGTTACTACAGAGGAGCCCATGGCATCATAGTTGTGTATGATGTGACAGATCAGGTGAGTTCCTAGAGACTATTGTATGTGTGTAGATTTTCGACACACTGTGTAGTTCTGATTGACCTGGAAATTATTATGTAGACAGAATGTCCTTGAATACTTTTGATCTGAAAGTTATTTTTACCATTTGAGAAATTAAAAAAAAAATAAAAATTAGCACTCATTTTTCTTGTAGCAAATGTTAAATCAACTCTTTGTGACTTATGGGCAATTTGGAAATAACTGAAGACATTTAGGAGCAAAAGATGGGTGAATGTGGGCAGGAAAAGAAAATGCTACATTAACATGATGTCATGTGCCTGGGTTCTTGCTACTTGGGAGGCTGAGATAGGCTCTCAGAAGACTGAGACCAGTCTAGGCAGCACAACACAGCAGATCACATCTCAAAAAGGCCAACACCCAGAGCAGACAGAACATGTTACTTTTTTAAAATTTTATTTTTATTTTATATACATTGGTGTTTTGCCATGGGTGTTGGGTCCCCTGGAACTGGAATTACAGACAGCTGTGAGCTGCCATGTGGGTGCTGGGAATTGAACCCCGGTCCTCTAGAAGAGCAGTCAGTGCTCTTAACCACTGAGCCATCTCTTCAGCCCAGAACATGTTACTTTTAAACGTCCAATCTATCACCATTATTTTGTTGTGTTTTGAGACAGAGTTTCTCTGAGTAGTCCTGGCAGTCCTAGAACTCTGTAGAACTCAGAGATCTGCCTGCCTCTGCCCTCTAAGCACTGGGATCAAAAGCATGTGCAATCACTCCCAGTCTACCATAAAATATATTTGAGAAAAGAAAAAGGAAAAGGTCTCACCAAAAGTTTTTTTTTTTTTTTTTTTAAACTAGTTTTCTCCTCCCCATCCACTCACTATCTTGTAGTGGCATTTAAGCTCAGAGATTTCTGCATGCCAGGAAGTAGTCAGTCCCTGAACTGTACCCTCGGGCCAAACAGTTATCTTTTTGATAGTAGTAACACTGCTGTTATTCATGACCAGTTTTTGTTGTTAATTTTTGTTTGGTTTATTTTGAGACAGGATCTCCCTTAAGGTAGTCCTGGCTGACGTGCAACTAACTGATTTTGTAGAATGGGCAGGCCTAGAACTCAGAGATCCACCTGCCTCTGCCTCCCTAGTTCTGGGATAAAAGCTGTGTCACTACTCAGTTTAAAAACCAGAATTCTACTAAATTTCAGAAACTAGGTTTTGTTAATATCTAAATTTCAACTTAAAATTGGGTTTGCCTGGGGGCTGGAGAGATGGCTCAGCGGTTAAGAGCACTGACTGTTCTTCCAGAGGTCCTGAGTTCAATTCCCAGCAACCACATGGTGGCTCACAGCCACCTTGAATGAGATCTGCATGCAGGCAGAAGACTGTATACATAATAAATAAAATCTTTAAAGAAAAAATTGGTTTGCCTGTCATTAAATATTAAACTGTTTCCCTTCCCAAATAAGCTATTTTCACTTCAAGCCTGCCAGTCCTCCTTATCATTCATTAGATGAACATTGTCATTGTAATATATTAGTTCATTTCTTTTCTTGCATTATAGTTATAGCTAGAGTTGCCACAAAATGAGCTGTTATCAGTTGATCATTGGTTGCATCCAAAACTGTATCATCATTCTTGTCTTTAGGAGTCCTTCAATAATGTTAAACAGTGGCTGCAAGAGATAGATCGCTATGCCAGTGAAAATGTCAACAAGTTGTTGGTAGGGAACAAATGTGACCTGACCACAAAGAAAGTAGTAGATTACACAACAGCGAAGGTATGTATGAGGTCTGATTTTCTAATTACTTAATTAATTTTGGGACAGGGTTTCTCTGTATAACAGCCCTGGCTGTCCTGGAACTCACTCTGTAGACCAGGCTGTTTTCGAACTCACAGAGATCCTTCTGCCTCTGCCTCCCAAGTGCTGGGATTAAGGGCATGTGCCACCACCACCTGTCGAGGTTTGATTTTCAAGTTGAATTTTAATTATGGGGACGGGAGTCATACAGTGGCTAAACTTTTAAAAGCCAGTGAATTTAGTCCTTCATTCCCATTTCAGAAAGCATTAACAGCAAGTTAGAAAGGTTTTCCAGTGTTGATTGTTCCTTATTACTCTCTCAGGAATTTGCAGATTCCCTTGGAATTCCATTTTTGGAAACCAGTGCTAAGAATGCAACGAATGTAGAACAGTCTTTCATGACGATGGCAGCCGAGATTAAAAAGCGAATGGGCCCTGGAGCAACAGCTGGTGGTGCAGAGAAGTCCAATGTTAAAATCCAGAGCACTCCAGTCAAGCAGTCAGGTGGAGGTTGCTGCTAAAATTTGCCTCCGTCCTTTTCTCACAGCAATGAATTCGCAATCTGAACCCAAGTGAAAAAACAAAATTGCCTGAATTGTACTGTATGTAGCTGCACTACAACAGATTCTTACCGTTTCCACAAGGTCAGAGATTGTAAATGGTCAATACTGACTTTTTTTTTTATTCCCTTGACTCAAAGACAGCTAACTTCATTTTCAGAACTGTTTTAAACCTTTGTGTGCTGGTTTATAAAATAATGTGTGTAATCCTTGTTGCTTTCCTGATACCAGATTGTTTCCCGTGGTTGGTTAGAATATATTTTGTTTTGATGTTTATATTGGCATGTTTAGATGTTGGGTTTAGTCTTCTGAAGATGAAGTTCAGCCATTTTGTATCAAACAGCACAACCAGTGTCTGTCAATTTCCATGCATAAAGTTTAGTGAGACGTTATATGTAAGATCTGATTTGCTAGTTCTTCCTTGTAGAGTTATAAATGGAAAGATTACACTATCTGATTAATAGTTTCTTCATACTCTGCATATAATTTGTGGCTGCAGAATATTGTAATTTGTTGCACACTATGTAACAAAACTGAAGATATGTTTAATAAATATTGTACTTATTGGAAGTAATATCAAACTGTATGGTGATAAGTATTGTTTTAATTCTTATGGTTAAAGGGAAATAGGGATTTGCATTATACTCAACAGCCAATTTGTGTGTGCAACAAGGGCACTGTAGACCTATCTAATAATAGCACAGCATCCAGTATTTGCTTTCTAGTAATAGACCTGCTAAGTGACCTAGAGAAGCTTCTGTGCTGTGTAGACTGAACCAAATTCATTGGTTCAAGGAGCTCAGAGTGTATGGAAAACAAGTTTAGAATGTGTGCTTTCTAGTGCTTCATCTCCAGCTCTAAAACCGTTGTCTGAAGTGGCTTCACTCAAACTTTCTTCATGCATCTGTGGTAGAGATGGAGAGCAGCACATGCTTTACTCCCAGGCAGTGATCTAGTAACATGTGCTGGTGCTTCCTCCATGCTCTGGCAGATGCCACACACCCACCCCACCCCACCTCACCTACCCCAGTTTTTGGGATTTTTATTTTTTGCTTTTAGAGACAGGGTTTCTCTGTGTAGTTCTGGCTGTCCTGGAACTTGCTCCGTGGACCAGACTGGCCTCGAACTCAGGGATCCACCTGTCTCTGCCTCCAAGTGCTAGGATTAAAGGCATGCACCACCATGCCCGCTTTATCTTTTTTCTTTTCTTTTTTGAGATAGGGTCTCACTATGTAACCCTGGCTGGCCTGCAACTTAGTATGTGCAGCAGGCTGGCCCCTAACAGAGATCCACCTGCCTTTTCCTCCCAAGTGGTGGGATTAAAGGCATGTACCACAATACTGAGACTGCAATGTTTTTTTGAGACAATGTCTCATGTAGCTCAAGAGGCCTCAAATTCACTTGTAACCAAGGATGGCCTTGAATTCCTGATCCTCCTGACTCCACTTCTAGGTGTCAACTTTTTATTCTTTCCAATTGTATAACTCATGTTGGAGGAGAGGTTAAACTTTAGAATAGAAAGCAGGAAATGTTGATTGCCCTAATTGTAGAAATTAAATCCCCCCAAATTAACTGAAAACATGGATGCTAGATGGGAATGATGAGAGAAATAATATATTTATTTCGGTGAAATTTTTGCATGTGTGGAAGTTTTGTTGACTGGGACCTTCAAGGTCCTAGACTTTGCTTTTGTCTCACTGTGGGAAACCAAGTCTCTTTCAGACGCTAGCATTTAAGGTGACAGAGGTCAGAGGTTGTTTCCTTTGGTTTAAACAAGCAGGCAAACATTCTTTTAATTGGGGGCTTAGGATGTTGCTGCTGACAACACATTTTATTATGGGGTCTTTAATGATAAAATATTAAACTAAAAGTAAGCCAAAAATTACAGGTTTCTTTATTTTTCACTAAACAGACGATTGAAATACATGGTACAAAAATAAGTGGTAAGATTATTGTAAAATGAAAATGGACAGACTATTCAATTTAATTTTCCATCTATGAGAATTTCACAATAAAATCATAGTTTACTTTGTATTATAGATGTGCTTGTTGGGTCTATTCGTCCTTACATAAGATAAGGCAACTGCAAATTCCTGAAGTCACCAGTAATTTATGTAAGTCACTGTTGGGTTTTATTCTTGTCAATACAAAGGGAAAAAGTTCATAAGCTTTTCTATAATAACTAAATGATACAAGAACAAGATAAGACAAAGTGACACCATGCACTTTAATTTACAGCAAAAGTTGTTCAAACTGTTGGCTTATTCTTTGTTAGCAGAAAACATTTATTTATAATATAAACATATTTATACTTTGTAGAATTGTAGTGTTCTTTCTCTACTAGCAGCAAGATTAGAGCGCTTACAACACCATTTCAGCATACTTCAATTCACTATTTGCTTTTATCTATGTGCCAATAAATGCAGTTTTGAGGGGAAACATCCCATTTTTCAAATATAAACATTTCAAGACTATTGGGAGCTCTAATTTGTTCACATAATAAAGAAATACCACATTATATTAAAAACAAAAAGTACACGGTAACTTGAATCATATGAAGAGCATTCTACTCCGTGGCCGTCACTGGGAATCTTTATTGAATTGGGCTCATGCTAACTTCCTGTGCTTATGTGGGCAGAAGTTCCCTCAAGCACATTTTTGACTATACAGCATACCTTGTACCACCACTCTTCTTTTGTGTTAACAGCCCTATCTTCGAAGCCTCTTTGTTTTGTGCTAGAGCTTAGCACTGACATGAACATGACTGAGATGCTACTTTATTGTGAACTCAAATGAACTTTTGAGGAACCATGTATAAATTTTTTTTGTTGTTTTTTTCAACACAGGGTTTCTCTGTGTAGCTTTGAAGCCTATACTGGCACTCGCTGTGGAGACCAGGCTGGCCTCGGATTCACAGAGATCCACCTGCCTCTGCTTCCTGAGTGTTGGGATTAAAGGTGTGCGCCACCAAAGCTTGGCTACCATGTATAAATTTTAGCATGTCCATGTGAATCTACCCTGATCGCATCTGCACATGGAAAGGTGTCATCATACTAGGCTGAAGACAATTTCAGCTCAAAGTTCTTAACACACAGCAGAAAATATAATTAACATTTGTGTTGCCATTCCTAAGTGGCATTCACAGCCAAGGTCACAGTTTACACCCTTTAGTTATAAAAAAAGTATCTTTTTGTTACAAAGAGGATGAACAAAAGCATAGACCATCTTCAGGCAAGTAGTACTTTGTTGGGAAACAGTATATTCCAAACTAGACATTATCAATTGAAGCTGATTGTAATTACACTTTAAGAGAACATTCAATTGGTGCAACAGGCTAGCTCTCTTCTCTAAGGTTCTGCCACCTTCAGTTTTTATGCTGTATGACTTTCATGCCTGTCAAATGGGTTTAATTTCTGAGGGCTGATCTAACATTGATGGGAGGGCAATTTAAAGCCACATCAAAGAGATAAAAGTATAGTGATTTTTAGCCAATTCTCATTTGCTAGAAAAGCATTTTCTTTTGCCCTCTGAAAGCACATTATTCACCATGTACAATGTAAGAAATAAGCTTGACTTAGAGATGGAAGACTCAAAAGTTTAACAATTAACAAGGATCACACCCATAAACATTATGGTACACCATACTGTGTAGCAGCAGGCATTCGAAAATACTGCACTTTATGTGTAGCTTACCGAAGTAGCTAATCCTTTTCTCACTCTACAGCCCTGGCTAGCCTGGAACTCTAATTAATACAGACCAAGTTGGCCTCAAACTCAAAAACATCCTCTCAAGTGCTAGGATTAAAGTATACCACCATGTTTGTCTAAGTAGCTAATTGTTTAAATGTTTTGTTGTTGCTTTTTAAGATGAAATCCCCATCTTTGATACTTTGTGGTAACCAGCTTACAATCACTTTGCTTCCAAAGCTGTAACTGATACTCTGAACAACTGATCCATGAAGTTTTCTTTTTTTCTTCCTGATAAGACACTACCTGTTGACTCCCATGAAACAAAGAATGTCCCTTTTTTCATCAGCACAGGGTGCTTTAGTTTCTGTAAGGACCAGACTGTATGACTGTACCCATTCCCTTTCTTTGACTAGTCTTCCAGGGGAAAGAGTGCCCCAGAGGTAAGCAAAAGCTTGAAAATTGGCATCATTCCCTTTCAGAAGCATGACACAAGCCTCTGACTCCCTGATGCATAAAAATTAAGGAAGAAGCTGGAGACCAACCACTAAAGATGGCAACTGACGTCATGCTGTCCAAAGGACTCTGTAGAAGGTCTACACCTTGTTTCCTGTGGCAGGCTAAGGGCTAACAGGTCTGCTATCTGAGAATCTTCAGAGTTTACAATTCAAGTCTCAACTTTATGAAAAGACCCAGTTTTGGCCACTTACTTCTTCACTCTAGAGCCCATCCCCCCTGTACACCTGAAAATCCCAAGTATTTGGAACCTTTCTTGAGCAGCTTCCTGTAAATGGCCTCAATATGTTTATCTGCTGGTTTTTAAGGGAACATGAGACCCTAGTATTATATAATCCCAGTATTTTTTGAAATCCTAGTATTTTATCAAAATTGTAAAGCCACATATTTCTGGTAGAGAAGCACCAAAAGGAAAAGCCTCAGTTTGGAGGGATTCGCTGTGATGAGAACAGCAAGTCAAGAACCCTTCAGAGATGGCAAAGGCATCTTAAAGCAATAGGGTTCAGTCTCCCAGCCTTAACTGTTAAATGGCTCTTCTAAGTTCTTGAGTTTTCTTCCCCAGAGCCAACTAAATGGTGATGACTCCATCTCTGCTAGGATGACACCTGGAAGAGAAAGCATCAAGCGTTACAGGCATGCTGCCAAGGAAGAAAAGTCAACACTGCCACATCTGCTCACATTGCTTTGATGCAGATAAGAGCCCCCATTTACTCGTTATTTTTTAAGGATGTCTTGGTATGTAGCCCAGGCTGGCTTCTATCTTTGAATCTTCTTGCTTCAGCCTCCAAAGGGCTGAGATTCCAGGTCTATGCTCCTGCCCCCCCCCCACTGGAGTCTCGGTTGTTTACATGTTTCCAGCATGTGCTCACTGAGACACCTTCTTTGACAACCATTTTGTAAAATGGGAAGTTCCAGAAAAAGTACAGTAGAATTGTGGGATTCTGAAGTGCCTAGGTAGTACAGATCCTAGGACAGGCACTAGGTGCCCTCCTTTTCTCTTGGTCTCTTTCCTATCATTCATTCCCAGTTTGTCTTTCTAAGAGGGAAGACGAAAGTTGTACTTAATGAGCAGTATTTAAGTCTAGGATATGCCATCCCCGCAGTCTTTGGGGGAGGATGTGGTATGAGAGATTTGCAAAGATCCTTTGTGGGAAGGTAGGGTAGAGAGCGGGCAGTTAACCTGGATTTTTGTAGATGTTTGTGTTATCAAAGATACTTGGAGACAAGTGCTAAATGAACTGGGTGAGAAGAGCCTACAGGGCAGGGGCAATCTGATCACAGCCCCAAACTGGAGAAGTGTACTCATGGGAAAACGGCACTGGTAAGGGTTCCTGCTCTTACTCTCAGAGGGTGAATAGTGGTGAAGAGAACACATGGAAATGGGAATGTGGGGTGTTGAAGCACATGAAAACATAGTGGAACCAAAGTGAGTTCCACCATAGAAAGACCCACATTCCTGGCAAGGGTAGTGACTCCTTCAGCACTACATTTGTTTCAATGACTATCACCCCAACTGAGCTTCTAAGAAGTAATTATTTACTAGGATAGCCCTGTGTCCTATTGAGCAGTAGTTGGACAACAGGTTCTCTTCTTAGGTTATTCTACTTACTCAGCAGTGCCTCCTCCCCTACCCCAATAGGGTCTCATGTACCTCAGGCTGACCCCAACCTGCTTTCTAGCTGAATATGATCTTGAACTTTTTATACACCATTACACTAATTTATGCAGTTCTGGGGACTGAATCTAAGATTTCATGCAAGCTAGTCAAGCACTGCCAACTGAGACACATTCCCAGCCCACCTTCCCTCTTCTTTTAAACAGTGATGCTGCAAGAGCTTAGGTCACATATTAGGGAAGCTTATTGATTTGGGGGGGGGCATAGGGAATCAGTGACCAAAACTGGAGCAATGGTGTGAGAATAGGTTAAATTCCCTCTTACATGTCAGAATGAGAAGAGGGATACGCTAGGGTCAGAGTACGCAAATGGCAGGCTGTTTTTTGTTAAGCACAAAAGCTGCTTGCTTCCTGTGCTTTATCAGCTGTGTTAAATGCTCCCTAGCTTCCTGCCACAGGGCAACATGTGCCAGCAGAGGATAAGAAAGGGGAAGCCTTTGTTCTGCACACAATGTGGACGAGATGGGGCAGGAAGGGAAGGAAGAGGAGGCTGGGGTGTGTTGAGGTCAGCCCCTTAGGAAGCCACATGAGGGCAAAGTGCTGTCCTAACAACTCAAGAGAGCTTGTGCCAGAGGAAAGCTGTCAGTGTGGCTGAACCACACTCTGTTCAGTTTTCCTGTGTGTCATCAGTGAAATTCTAGGGGCCTTTATTTGAAACTTTACTGTAAACAGGTCATGGAAGAAAGGCTAGAAAGGGAGACTTAAGCAGGTATGTTTTCTTGGTGTGATTTTTGTGTTGCTTTCATTTAACATACACATATTGGGCCTCATTTGGCTTAATTCCCATGGGTTCTAGTCATGTGACTCATGCAGTTTAAGACAAAATGTCAGCCTGTATTTATGTAACTAGGTCAAAATGCCTTTGGTGGGGTCCTGACAAAGGGGCCTCTTGGTGGCAGAGTTAAACCACAGTCACACTCCTAAGAAAGCAGGCTCTGAAAAAGCAGTGGGTATGGGGATGGGAGGTGGGGGAGTACACGGACAGGAGGCTGCTTCTAGGAGGGAGTAGGAAGTGTCAAGGGAACTCGAGACCTGAACAAAATAGCTCAGTGCTCCAGTTATTCCAGGCAGAGGACCGGGAAGTTAGAGTACTAATCTGAAGGAGCCTCTCTGGCTGGTAAAACATCCGAGTGTTTTCTCAGAGTAGGAGAAAGTAAGTGTTAATGGATTTATTTCCAAGTGAAAGTCAGAACAGTTTTAGGAGACCTTCTATTAAACTCCATGGCCTCCATGAAGAGAAGACCTGTACTGAGCTCTCCCTGCTTGGGCCCTTTATCTTCAGACCCTAGGACAGCAGCTGGAAGCTTCTTCAGCCCCATGCTAAGTGTGTTTGGTAAAACACCAGCAGAGGCAGAAGCAATAAAGTTTGCTGCACCAAGTTCCTGCCCCAGTATAAAACCTAAAACTTAGGGCTGGTGAGATGGCTCAGTGAGTTGAGGCATTTAACACACAAGCCTGGCAACTCGAGTCCAGTCTTTAGAATCTGTGTAAGGGCACAGAAACACCATTCATACATGCAATAAAACAAACCGTTCAGGGTTAGCAACTAAAACACCTAACGATCCTGCAGACAACATAGGAGCATTAATACAGGCCTTCAGAGAAGCAGGGGAGGCAAAAGGCTCACCAGGTCATACTGCTGGAGACTTGTTAGTGATTGCTTTCCATCAAAACCTCTCTGTGTGTTCACTTTCCCCAGGGTACAACTGACAATGGAAATGTTTTAGGGGCACTGAGGGGATGTAAGGGCTTTTGTGCTGCAAAACATCTTGCAATGCATGTAAACCCTTACAACAAAGAGTTAGGCAGCTCTCTATGGCAGTGGCACCAAGCCTGAAAACTTGTTTTGTAACCCTTGTCCAGTAACCTGGCCATCACTTCATACTCATCATGGCTATGTGTATGCCATTTGATTCTCCTGTAAATACTACCTCTCTCTGAAACTGCAGTATAACATTACTGGGCTTTTTAAACACCTATTTGTGAGCAAATCTGAGGACCTGATTTTGAGAGAACCAGTTCTACATCCATGCCATGCACACACACCTGAACTCTTACTGCTCTTGGAGAATGCCTAGGTTTGGTTCCTAACACCCACTAGGAAGCTCACAACCTTTTAACTCCAGTTCCAGGGGATCCAACACTCTCTTCTGACCTCCACATGTTCTTGCATACATATGGTGTACATACACATTTAAAAACAAAACACCTCAAACAAATATACACAGGTGTACACAGGGGCTGGAGGTGCCTCAGTGATTAGGATTACATATGGCTGGCTCTTCAGAGGACTTGAGTTCCTTATGTTAGACTGCTCACATCCAGCTGTAGTGCGAGGGCATCTAATGTCCTGGCCTCTAAAAGCACCTGTACTCATATTTATTACCCTCACCAGATACATACGTAATTAAAAAACAAAATCAATCTTTTTACCTTTAATCCCAGCACTCAGGAGGCAGAGCTAGGAAGATCTCTGTGAGTTTGAGGCCAGCCTGGTCTACCTAGTGAATACCAGAAGAGCCAGGGCTACATAGTGAGACCATGTCTCAAAAATCAAACATGCAAGAAGCACTACAGGGCCATCGAGACAGCAGAGCACAGTAGGTCAGGCATCGCTGAGCCTGGTGACCTGACTCTGATCTCTGGAACCCACATAATACATAGGAATTCAAATAAACACACAGCAATGTGACCAGGCATTGGGAGACCTTGTCTCACAAAATCAAATTGCAGACTCAAACCTGTAATCCCAGGACTCAAGGCAGAGGCAAGAGAATCTGTGCAGGTTCAAGGTTGGCCTGACCTATATAGTGAGTTCCTGACTAGTCAGAGCTACATGGAGAAACTCAAAAACTAAGCAACAACAAATAAAACACAAGAACTATTAGTGTTACTATTAATAGTCATTTGATAAAAAAAAATGGATGAATAACCTAGATACTTCAGAAGAGGATATTAGGAAAGACCAACAAACCTGTGAAACAGGTTCAGTATTATTAATCAGAGGGAAAGAAAACTACATTGATATGACAGAAAAGGAACTCATTGCTGGTGGGAAGCAGTATGGAGGTCTTCACAAGACTAGATAGGGCAGCAGGATCTGGGAATCCCACTACTGACTACTGTACATCCAGGAGAACAGAAGCTACACTCTCCTCTTTACTGTGTTCTAGAGACATCGGAGATGGAACTGGTATGGGAAATGGGAACAACCTGAAAATGGCTGTCAGTTGAAGCTGATGAGAATTCTACATTGAGAAAATAAGAGTGCCACCGCAGTCTAAATTCAATTGCTATATATAATACTGGCTAGTTTTCAAAACAATTATGTGTACATGTGTAGATCCGTGTGTGTGGGTAGGTGTACATGTGAGTCTAGAAGAGGACACTGGATGCCCTGGAGCTGGAGTTACAGTGCTTACAATACCTAAGCTGACTTTCCACTTCCTGGCTAGTTCTTTCTTTCTGGTTGTCACCTGTATTTTATTTTTAATCTCTTCCCCTCCCCCTCTCTGATAGAGTCTCACTATGTAGCCCAGCCTGTCCTGAACTATCAAACCAGGCTAGCCAGAAATTTAAGATGCTCCTCTGCCTCCCAGAGGAGATTGGGATTAAAGGCATGCACCACCATGCCTGACTCTTCATCTTTAATTTTATATTGACTAATTCAGACTTTCGTATTAAAATTCACTAGCAGATAAATGGGTTGAATTCCTAAGGGCAACTCTAACACACTCAGTGAAAAGGCATGTTCCAATCAATTTATAGCCACATACAGTGGACATGTGTGTCACACCAGACCCATAGATAAGTATATCATGTGTCAATAAACAACCAAACAAAGCTCTTGGTTACCCACCTGGGGTGTTATCCATCAGGCACTGAAGAAGAATCTCCCCCTTCTCCAAGACATTCTCTGTCAGGGACTGATGTTTGTCTATATCTTTCTTAAATTGCTTAAGACATCAGAAAAGAAAAAAGTTTCAATACTATTGCTTGTAAAAGACATCTAGAATGAACACTATCCAACACTTGACTTCTCTAAATGGAAGATAGCCACCACGCAGTCAAGAATCCCTCAGTAGACTTATCTTGTGGCAGCTTCTTTGAGTTCATGGACATATATTCACTGATTTTGTTTGTTGTTGAGACAGAGTCTTAATTTAGCTCAGGCTGGTCTACAGAGTCCTCTTTATCTTCCCCAGTGCTAGGATTATAACCCTGTGCCATCGAGTCCAGATCAACAGAAGAGTTTTCCCCAGAAGAAGCTGGCTCGCTCTTGGACAGGCTGGAGTAGGGATTCCATTTTGTACACTCCTTTATGGTGGTCTCTAACTCAGGTATGTGATTGACCCTTAGAATGAACATGGTAGGTAAGAACTACAAACAGCCGGGCGTTTAATCCCAGCACTCGGGAGGCAGAGGCAGGTGGATCTCTGTGAGTTCGAGGCCAGCCTGGTCTCCAGAGCAAGTGCCAGGATAGGCTCCAAAGCTACACAGAGAACCCCTGTCTCGAAAAACAAACAAACAAACAAACAAACAAAACTACAAGCAGAAGTTTGTTACTACACTAACCACGCTGACCCGTGCTCCCCTCCCCCATCTTTATACCCCTTCTCTGAGGCCTCTATAATAACACCTTGACATCAGGGAAGCTGCTATTTTCCCAAAAATAGGTTATTTTCCCAAGCAGGTTATCCCTCACAGCTACAAAGCATCGTTGCTGATTTTTATTTTCATTAAAGGCAGTCCTGGCTGCCCTAAACTCACTATGTAAATTGGGCTGGCCACAAACTCATTGAGTTATGCTTGCTTCTGTCTCCTGAGTGCTCAGATTAAAGGCATATACCACCATAGTCAGCTCTAGTTAATTTTTTAAAATCTTTTTTTTTTTTTTTTTTTTTTTTGAGACAGGGTTTCTCTGTGGCTTTGGAGGCTGTCCTGGAACTAGCTCTTGTAGACCAGGCTGGTTTCAAACTCACAGAGATCCACCTGCGTCTGCCTCCTGAGTGCTGGGACTAAAGGGGTGTGCCACCACCACCTAGCTAAAATCTTTCTTTAGCCAGTAAGAATCATATAAAATTAAACCCATGCCATGGGACAGACCTCACTGCTTAGTATTTTAAGGGTGCTAATCTTACTCTTGGATTTGTTCTCTTGCCCTCAGTATTCCTTTGCCCCCAAACTGTTTTTATCCTCCTGTGCTCTAGGGAGTTTAGATGCTGCCTCAGCCCCACTGCATCAAGAAGAAATACAAGTACAAGAGAGGATGACTGGGGACAAGTACAGGAGAGGATGAGTGTCAGTTAAAATATGAGCATACATAAATCCTAGCACTCATTCTCCGTCTAAGCAAGAGCCAAGAGAGCTCATTTGTAAGTCATGTTCCATTCTGGGGAGGGTGTCAGCAGTGTCATCTCACTGACACAGCTGTGTACATACAAGAGGCCTAAGCTTGACTAATATGCAGGAATAACTTCTGACTCAATTCCTAGCTGTCTACAATGCAAGATGGTTGCAGCTGGAAGTTGAGTTATAGAGGGGGTTATGAGGGCTCAAATGAAGAATGGAGTAAACCTATTTACACTTGTTCAGCCAGGCCAGGAAAGGCTACTGAGATAAGTCTGATAGAGCAATTCCTTTCCCTGGGACTCCCCGGGGCACTCTCCAGGCACAGACACGCTGAACAGAAAGAACCTTCAGGTACAGCCTTCCTCTAGTTTCTCTCTATCTCTACACTGTATCTAACAGCATTCCTGCCATGGCAGGACAGCTGGCTAGCCCAGGCTAGATTTTAGTAGATTGCAAGACAGAAAACAAAGGCCTTCCATCCAGATGAGCTGAGTCAGAGCTTGGTGGTTAATCTCACCCTCTTCTGCTGACTCAGTGTTAGGTTACATGATTAGATCTGGGTTCCCCATTTCCCTGCCAGGTTAGCAGCAGGCCTGGGCCACAAACACTGCCACCATGTGATCAAAGTCAGCCAGGTTTACCTGAGGTAGCAGTTACAGGAATTACCCTCCATTTCAATATGCTTTTTATCTCGTATCATTAACTAAAATTCATAGGTGTGAAATAACAGCCCTTAAAAATAAGCAGACATAAAATCCTAAGTCCCAAACATAGATACAAACTGGTGTCAGATTTGGGGTTAAATATGACTTAAATCTGTCCTATTACACAGCTTCAGCTGAGTTCCATAAACACAAATACAGTTCAGAAGAACTCTGGTGACGTGTCTGTGTTTGCACTGCCCTGTGTGGCAGCCACTGCATAGCAGTGGTACATATCAGACTTAACTGTCATACATGACTACCGTCTGTAAACCCCAGGCCTATGGTTCTAACCCTGAGACACCTACCAAAGTACCATGCAAATCCCTCAAAAGTATTTATTGTTCAAGACAAATTTTCCTCTATCTGGCCTGGGAGTTCAAAATTTAGAATTTGAAAAAGGTGTCTTAATTAGATTTATTCAGATAAAATAGTCTGAGCTACAAGAGTCCAGTTACTTGGAATTTTATTTTGTAAGTGACTTAACCACCAATCTTGTGAGTGAGCAAGCCAGGAGCCAGGACCACACATTACCCGGTAAAGCTGCAGAGAAGACTTGAGACCTGTAAGAGTGGACCTGGGTGGAGTACTGAGGTCAGCAACGTCTGTGACATTATACAACCAGCAGATCAGCTCTTCCAGCTGACAGCAAAATGTCTGTGGAGACAAGAATACATGGGCACTGGACAGAGCTCAGTGATGAAGTCTGCCTATCATGCTCAGGGCCCAGTACCACAAAAACAAAGTCCACATGGGGCACCCGAGTGCACTGCTTACCTTGTCCAAAGGCTAAAAGTATCAGCATTTTGGCATACAGATAATCCTTCTAGAGTTTTCTCTCACAGGGTTATTTGTCTCCACCTCTACCCCATGACTCCAAAATTCCCCCTGCCAGGACAATGAATGCCATACTGGTTGTGTCTTCCCTCAGTCAGATGTGACATCAAAAACAACAGACTCAGAATATACAGTCCTGACGGTGAGAATGGAACTATGGAGGAACAGGGACAAGGAGCAGCCCAGAAGAGCAGGCTTGCTACACCAGCCACTTCTTGGATCTAAACTTTCTATTCAAAAAAGCTGTTATGTGATGAATGAGCGAATTATAACTACCTGAGCCATGGTAAAACAGTGTACCAACTTCGTATCACCAAGGCACACAACACTGGTACTACATGTTACCTAACTTCTCTTGCCATTTTCTTACAACCATTAAAGGAGAAAAACACATGTATTTTCTATATTTGGGGGGTATGTGTGTTTGGGGTGCTGAGATATGCTGTTGCTAGGCTGGGGAAAGAACACTTATTCCAGAAGCTTCTCCTTGTTGAGCATCTTTACCTGCACACATTGCACCAGTGACGCTTTCTCCTGCCCTCTGTTCCTGGGAAGATTCTCTCCAGCAACTGGCTCTGAGAACGGCCACCTGTCTGATGCAGCTTGCAAGGAGGGGTGAGCGTGCAGCAGTCCAGAAGAGACCCCAAGGGCCTGGCTGCTCACTTTACTACTTTTGCCTGTGGAGTCCTTGGGATGTATAGAGTCCACAAAGCAGGAGTTCTGGACCACAGGCCCTTGGAAGGCAGCACCAGAAGGATGCTGCCTTTGGCTAGAGTCCAATGTGGAGGAAACTGGCCCATCACTGTCTGAGACAATCAGTGAACTGCACTCCTCAGCAGCCCCAGTGGGTAGATTCACAAAGGTGGGAATGACACCTAAGTAGGACATCAGACTAGAAACTGGAGTCAGCCTCGTGGGCAGGGCAAGGTACTCATCATCACTTTCCATCTCTTCTTCTGATGTCCATGCAGGCTTCACACAGGCGGGATGCCCAACGGTCTGGTAGGCTCTCTTCTCCTTCTCTAGTCTGGGAAAGGGTGGTGCCCTCTCCTTCATCCTTAGCTGCGGGGAGCCTACACTGAGGTTCTTGCCTATAGGCAGATAGTTCTTTGTGTCCCTCAGGGCTGCCTCTCTGTTTTTGCAAGAAGCATCCTCAGTGCCTAAGGTTCTAGGGGTTGATGTAAGCTGGTTCCAAGATGGCAGGCTTATGCCATCCTGTTTCTGGGATACTCCCAAGGGCCAATTCTTAAGGCATGGCTCCCTGGCTCCAGAAAATGGCAGGGTAGGTACTTCTGCTGCTAAGCAATTGTGGGAGACATTAGTGGGTGACTTGAGAGTACTTGCTGGGGAGACAGAGAAACTGTCCAGATCTACACCTGAATCCTGCATGACAGGATCAGTCAGCACAAGACTCTCAAACTGCTTTGGGAGCTGAGGCCCAGGCCTCAGTGGGTAAGTGTAGTCAAGCAAATCTTCATATTCTTTATTTGGGTTCCAGAGTGGGGAGTGGCGGTCAGGCGAGGGAGGCAGAGAATTTGGCAGCACACAGGCCCAGTACTCTGCCTGAAAGGAGAGTTGTCTCTTACCCAGGCTAGTAGCATCACTCCCAGGGGCCACAGGCTGTGGTGACCACAGGGGCTGAGGCCCTGTCCCCACCACTGAGGGGGCTCCCTGGGGTACAATCAACTCCTGAGAGGAGACCTTGGCAAATGAGCTACTTTGAGGCTCTGCCTTTTCTTGGTGATCCTGGAGACTGCTGCCCATGGAGGAGGCAGAGGAGAGCTGAGGAGCACCTGGGCTCACCATGGACTTCCACTGGGACAGGAGAGGGAAACCTGAGATGTGAGGCTGTTGGCTGAGGCCTAGCACCTGATGACAATCAACTGGGGACTGGTTGTCTTCACTGGCAGCATCATGTCCTGAGCAAACAGTTACAGTTCCAATGACTTTAACCCTCTGACATAAGTCGTGGGAGGCAGGAAGCTTTTTTTCCTCCATCTACAATAAAAAGGCGGGAAAGGCACTGAGGTGAAAAGAAACAAACTTTTTCTTTATTTCTTCTTTTTTTAAAAAACAGCTTTCTTCTTTAAGGTTGAGGGAGGAAAGTGGGAGGGTTGTCAATAAAAACAAAGTAGGTCTTAGGATCCTATGATAAAACCTACTACTTAATATATTTACCTAAGAAAACAAAATAAACAAAAAGGAAAGACAAGAAGATAGATGGGGAACATAGATTGTTTGTGTTCCCAGAATAGTATTCAGGCAAGATCTCAAGTTTCCTGCTGCTAGTTAGTACCAAAACTCATCCTACCCTGGGAAGTCGCCTGCAATTGATCCCGAACCCACCTTTTCAAGTTAGTCACTCACTTTGTGAGAGCAGAACCCAAGACAGTTCTGTACACAGAAGCTGGAGACCAATGCCTTTCCTCTGATGACGGTCCCCCAGCAAGTGAAATAAGCCCTCAGTCATCATCACCACTGACAGGAGATGCAGCAGGCTCCACCAGGGGTACCCTGTTCAGTTCACATGCCAGTACACTCTGACAAAATGACTCCCTCAGCTTCTTTACTCTGGACTTTTAATCTTGGTGAATAACTCACCCCAGAGGAAGATAATAACTAACATAAGGGCTTCGGAACCAGACTGACCTGATATCAATGAACTCCATTTATACCAGCTTCAAGAAGCACAACTGAGAGCCTCCCTTCCCTGCCCTGTGGAGTGGACATAACACCAGCACTGCCTCCCCAAGGACTCATTAAGAAAACACTAAGAGCCCCTCCCTAGCAGGCATAAAAACATAACCCACAGCCTTTCTTTGAAGAGACAACCACTTCTGGGCTTGCTGATTTGCTTCTTGACCCAACAAACAGGACATATAGTGCCAGAGCCCTCCTTGACCCTTGCCTTCAACAAGTGGGCCCAGGTACTATTCCCTCCCAATCACGCTCAGAGCATTCTCACAGGACGGGCTCCAAGGAGAGAGCAAGCAGAAGCCAAAGCCACAATGCACAAATCAGAGCTGCCCCTAGACCTTGGTAGCCTGAACATGATGTTGCCAGAGCCAGGAGGAGCAATCACTGGTCATTCTCCCACTACAGGTCCTAAAAGATTCAGAGACTTGCCTTTGGCCTTAGAACATGGGAGGATTTCCTGCCCCATGTGGCTCTCACTGGAGAGACAAATGCCTTGTGGTCTCCAGTCATGGAGGTCAGAGACACTGCTGCCCATGAAAGCAGCTTCAGGTTTCTGACTAGTCTCAAGAACATTTGGTCTGGGAACTCACAGGGTCCCCTAGAAGCTTTCAGATCACAAATCAGAAGCTGGATAGTGGCCCCCTCATTAAGAGACCCCTGATCCTAGTCCTCTGGACAGTAGACTGCTGATGAAATTCACTGTCCTTAAGAGGTCCCCAGTGACTCTGGGAACAGGAGATACTGATTTGAACCCCCTGCTGACTTCACAGTCCAGCTCTCCAAGGGAACCTATAAAACAGTTTGTACCCAGGAGCCTACAACTCCCACCTTACAGTGTTGGTCAGGGAGTAACAGTCAAGGAGATGCAGTGCACACCCAAAGGATGCCCTGGCTCAGCTCCAGCCTCAACTCTTCAGTACTTACATGGTTTCCCACAGAGTGAAGGTCCCCAGTCCCCATGCTGACAGAAGGAAGTGGGCCACTGAGGGTAGGCTTAGATCCATCTGCTACCGGTTCTCCGCTGGCAGTGTGGGCCTGTGACTCGAAAACTCTAGAGATGCAGCCAGGGTCAGCCTCAGCCCTGCACCGTGGCCCTCTCTTGACTTCCAGATGCGGGGGCTGTTGTGGATCAAGCCCTGGGGGCAGCAGTTCCTGTTCCACAGAGTTCCACCTGCCACAGGACTGGACCTTTGTGTTGACAGATGTGTTTGCCTCAGCAACATCTTCACCCAGAGCCATTGAGCCTTCCCTAAATTGGGTTTCCCTTGAAGCCTTCAGGAACCTACAGAACAAGGGAAGGAGAAAGAAAATTTTATTTTCTTCGTGTGTTCAGAAAAACCTTGATTTTAAGTGAAGACAAATTTTTCTGGCAAAAGGGACAGTGACCACTTTCTTGGGGGAGTACCAGGGTCTGGCTTTTCCTCAGCCCAGATCCTTTCAAAGGGGATGCCTTAGTATATGACTTTGTCCTCTGTCATTGTGGTATTGTTTCCTTAAAAGTCAGGACAGTGTGACCAAGCAAAAGGCTTGGCCAGCCTATTGCAAAGGTCAAAAAACAGGCAACAGAAGAAAAAAAAAAAAGTATTATAAGCCAGCTGATCTGGGTGGAAGACACACATTCTAAGGCCATTTTCCTTGTCCGGAAGCTGACGGAAGAGGTCTACCTAGGAGAAGGGTGAGTGCAGGCTAGCAGGAGCCCTCTCACAGGTGTAGGATTGTCATTAGAGAAACATCTGGTCCTAACTGCCTGCTCATGGGATGTTTTTCAGTTCTGCAACAGGTCATCTCCAATCTCACAACAGGTCATTATTTCCTAGGACCATTCTTCTCACTGATTAGTTTCCCATATACTGTTCTGGACATTACACATGGACAGACTGGAGGGAAGGGCAGCTACACAAAGACCTTTTGTGACTACCAAACTCACTCAGATGAAGTGAAACAGGCTTGAGCACAAGGCCTTGCCTCAGTCAGTGTGCAGCACAGATGCAATTCAGAGACAGGACTTGGGCCTGTGTATGTTGCCTCTACCCCCAACCTCATTGAGATGTCCAGCTGGGCCTTTGTCATGCACAGCCTCACAGTAGTTCTCTTATGTCAATGGCTTGTAGGTTAGCAACTTGAGTCTTGTCCCTTCTACCCTAGAGGAGAGCAAGTTCAGGTATGCCTGGGCTTCCACGGGGCTTGAGAGGATGTTTCTAACTATTCTTCGTGGGAGGAAACTGTGGGAATAGGAACCACACCCAGACTGTGGACCAGGTGGAGCTTCTGATCCAATGTTGACCAATGACCTCCAAACAGATCAGCATCCCTTCTCAGGCTGCCTTGGTAGCCTCAAGAAGCCATGGAAAGCTGGGTGATAATGGGTGAGCTGATGTGAGGAAAAGGAGAGCACCCCAGACAGAGTCATGGTGAGGGCACTGCTGGGGGAAAAAAGGAAAGAACCAACTGGATCTACAGAAACACCAGTACAACAGAGGGCTACCAGGCTGGCATCACTCTTGTAAGCAATGGATCCTTCGGGGGTTAATCAGACCCTGCCCTTTTTTCTTTTTCTGGTAGAAACCTAACCTTTCACGTAACAAGCAAAGTAGTTCCACTGAACAGTTCCACAAACATGGGTAAGCAGTGCTGTTAGTTTTTGTGTATGACTCCTATCACATGATATATATGCAAACACAAATATTCCCACACATACACCTTTATTATAAAAGTGCTGAACAGGGCAGGACATACCATTCAAAACCTTGTCCATCCCTCCCCCACCAAAAAAAAAAAAAAAAAATAGAGAGACCAGTACTAGGGATTAGACCTAGAATCCTAGGGCAGTCCTGGAGATCTAAGGGCAGCCCAATAGCTACTGGTATATCCCTGATCAAAGAACAGTTCTGTTAGAGAAAAGTCATCCTCTTCAACCACAATGAATACACATGGGCAGTGAAGAACGAAGGAGAGCCCTGCCTCCAAACAAGGATCAAGTAAAAAAACAAACCCAAAAGCACCCAAAGCAGCAGAAGGTGGAGAATGGGGGAGAATGGTCAAGTTCAGGTGAGATATTTTTTCTTTTTTCTTCTCCTTTTTATTTAAATTAGAAACAATCTTATTTTATATATCAATCCCAGTTCCCTCTCCCTTGTATTCTCCCATGCCCTCCACCTACCCCATCCCATCCCTCTTCTGCTCCATAGAAAGCATGGGGGATCATCAAAGTCTGTCACATCATTTGGGGCAGGGCCTAGGCCGCCCTCTGTGTGTCTAGGTTGAGAGAGTATTCCTCTATGGGGAATGGGTTCCCAATGCCCATTCATATACTAGGTATAAATGCTGTTCCATTACCAGATGCCTCATAAGACTGCCCAGGCGCCAGGCGTTGGTGGCGCAAGCCTTTAATCCCAGCACATGGGAGGCAGAGGCAGGTGGATCTCTGTGAGTTTGAGACCAGCCTGGTCTACAAGAGCTAATTCCAGGACAGCCTCCAAAGCCACAAAGAAACCCTGTCTCAAAAAATAAAAAATAAAAAAAAAAGAGAGAGAGAGAGAGACTGTCCAGGCATCCTAACTGACAACCACATACAGGGGGTCTGGTTTCCAAGCTGTCAGTCTAGGGTCCATGAGCTCCCCCTTGTTCAGATCAGCTGTTTCTTTCTTCCTTTTTTTTTTTTTTTTAAAGATTTATTTACTGATTATGTGTTAACAACATTGTGCCAGCATGTATGTGTGCAGGCTAGAAGAGGGCACCAAATACCATTATAGATGGCTGTGAGGCACCATGTGGTTGCTGGGAATTGAACTCATGACCTCTGGAAAAGCAGTCAGTGCTCTGAACCTTTGAGCCATCCCTCCAGCCCCCCCAGGTCAACTGTTTCTGTGGGTTTCCCCAGCATGGTCTTGATCCCTTTGCTCATCACTCCTCCCACTCTACAACTGGATTCCAGGAATTTGGCTCAGTGTTTAGCTGTGGGTCTCTGCTTCTGTTTCCATCAATCTCATTATTGGGGAAGGGCATTTAAGATAGCCTCTTCCCTACAGCTTAGATTCTTACTTGGTGTCATCCTTGTAGATCTCAGGACATTTCCCTAGTGCCAGATTTCTCTTTTAATGGCTCCCTCTATTAAGGTTATCTCTTTTCTTGCTCTCCTCTATTTTTCCCCCAACTCAATCTTCTGGTCCCTCATGTCTTCCTCCTCTCTCCTCTTCTTCCTTTCTCTTTCTCCTAACCTCCCCCCCCCCCCCCCCCCTCTCCCACACACTTCCGTCCCATTCCCCTTCTCCGGGAGACCATCTATATCTCTCTTAAGGTCCTCCTTGTTTCCTAGCTTCTTTGGAGGTATGGATTGTAGGCTGGTAATCTTTTGCTCTATGTCTAATATCCATATATAAGTGAGTACATACCATGTTTGTCTTTTTGTGACTGGGTTACCTCACTCAGGATGGTTTCTTCTAGTTCCATTGATTTGCCTGCAAATTTCAAGATTCCATTGTTTTTTCCCCACTTTACACTCCATTGTGTAAATGTACCACCATTTTCTTTATCCATTCTTCAGTTGAAGAGCATCTAGGTTGCTTCGAGTTTCTGGCTATTACAAATAATGCTGCTATGAACATAGCTGAACAGATGTCCTGGTTGTATGAATGTGCATCCTTTGGGTATATGCCCAAGAGTGGAATTGTTGAATTTTGAGGTAACTGATTCCCAATTTCCTGAGGAACCACCATACTGATTTCCAAAGTGGCTGTAGTTTGCACTTCCACCAGCAGTGGAGGAGTGTTTCCCTTGCTCTACATCCTCTCCAGCATAAACTGTCCTTGGTGATTTTGATTTTGGCCATTCTGACAGGAGTAAGATGGTATCTCAGAGTTGTTTTGATTTGCATTTCCCTGATGGCTAAGGATGTTGAGCACTTTCTTAAGCGTCTTTCAGCTATTTTGGATTCCTCTATTGAGAAGTCTCTAATTAGTTCTGTACCCCACTTTTTAATTGGATTGTTTGTTGTTTTGGTGACTAGCTTCTTGAGTTCTCTGTATATTTTGGAGATCAGCCCTCTGTCAGATGTGGGGTTGGTGAAGATTTTTTCCCATTCTGTGGGCTGCCATTTTTCTTGTTGACTGTGTCTTTTGCCTTACAGAGCTTCTCAGTTTCAGGAGGTCCCATTTATTAATTGTTGACCTCAGTGTCTGTGCTACTGGTGTTATGTTCAGGAAACGGTCTCCTGTACCAATTCGTTTGAGGGTACCTCCCACTTTCTCTTCTAAGAGGTTCAGTGTGGCTGGATTTATGTTGAGGTCTTTGATCCATTTGAACTTAAGTTTTGTGCATGGTGATAGACATGGATTTATCTGCAGTCTTCTACACGCCAGCATCCAGTTATGCCAGCATCATTTGTTGAAGATGCTTTCTTTTTTCCACTGTGTAATTTTAGCTTCTTTGTCAAAAATCCAGTATTTGTAAGTATGTGGGTTAATATCATGGTTTTCAATTTGATTCCATTGGTCTACCTGTCTATTTTTGTGCCAATACCAAGCTGTTTTCAGGACTATAGCTCTATAATAGAGCTTAAAGTCAGGGATGGTGATGCCTCTAGAAGTTTCTTTATTGTACAGGGTTGTTTTTATTGTACAGGGTTGTTTTGACTATCCTAGGTCTTTTCTTTTTCCATATAAAGTTGAGTATTGTTTTTTCAAGATCTGTGAAGAATTGTGCCAGTATTTTGATGGGGATTGCTTTGCCATTTTTCCCTATGTTGATCCTACTTATCCAAGAGCATGGGCAATCTTTCCATTTTATGGTCAAATGAGATATTTTCATGGAGCCACATCCTCACCTTGTGGCTCTTTTAAAAACTGCACATATTTTTGTGTATGTGCATGTCTATCTGTGTGTGTAAACATATATGGGCCCACAGAAGCCAGAAGACATCAGATCTCCTGGAGCTGGAGTTGAAGGTTGCTTGACAAGAGTACTAGGGACAGAAGTTGGGTCCTCTGGAAGAGCAGCATGCACTAACCGTTCAACCATCTCTCCAGCCCCTGCACCAGCTTTTGATAACTACAGCTGACCCTATCAGCTGGAGAATTTAGGGTGAGGACAACCTATCTATCACTTTCTGGTTGCTACTTCTTCCTCCATTTCTAGACACTGTCAATGGTCACAGCTCCCTTATGCCCCTAACAAGAATGGTGTTAAGACTTGGTCCTGCAGTAAAATGAAATTGAGCAAAGTAAGCATCAAATACCAAAGAAGAAGAAGAAGAAGAAGAAGAAGAAGAAGAAGAAGAAGAAGAGG